GCATAAGGATCCGATCGCGAAAGAAGTATGCTGTGGGGTGCTCCTTTACGTCCGGCTTGTCCATGGCAGAGACACGACAGGGTTCCAAGGAAGGGTCCTCTTTCTGTGCCGAGATCAGCGCATCCTTCGTGGAGGGAACTTCAGGGGAGGTAACAGAGTGAAGTATCAGGAACCGGGGTCACAGACTCAATCTTCGAAGGTTTATCAAGCACCGGCACGGACATGAACGTGTCCTCGAGGTCTATGTCGGCGAGCTGGCACCGCTGTGCACAAGTAAGCACACACGCAGGAAACACCGTCAGGTGTTCCACCGCTACATCATTTTCACATAGCACAGGGTCCGGAACCACTTCGGGTAAGGGAACGATTCTCTTTCCCGCTATATCATTCCCAAGGATGAATGTAACGCCTGGGACAGGTAACTGGGACTGGACAGCAACCCGCACGTATCCCGAGAAATCGGGAGTACTCAAATATACAGTGTGCAGGGGAACTCCAGCCACACATAAATCAATTCCCTGCACCAACACATCCGTACCACAGTACGTTTAGTCACACAGGGGAATAATTCCTTCCACCATGAAGGACTGAGCGGCTCCCGTATCCCGCAGGATAGTCACAGGGTGCCGAGCATCCGTCTCACTAAGCGAAACCAAACCAGGAAATACAAATGGTTCAAAAGCAGCGTCGATACGAGAGGACGAGGGCGAAGAACTGTCGGGGCAGGCAGCAACATTCACTTTTCTAGCTGCTGTGCGAGCTTCCTTGAGCTTTAACGCAGGGCAAACAGAGATGAAATGGCCCACCTCGTGGCAATAGAAACACTCGCGTTTCTCCACGGGTGGTGGAGACGATGCTGACGAGGGGGAGGATACAACTGGACGAGTTTTACGAGGCAAAGGAATCGGAGTAAACACAGTTTTGTGGGTCAAAACGAACTCGTCAGCGAGGGTGGCAGCTTCGGTCAACGAAGTGACCTTTTGCTCATTTAGGTATACTACCACCCGATCAGGAACACAGTTCTTGAATTCCTCCAATACCAGTTCCTTAAGCGGGTCGAGGTTAAACACACCACTGGCGCCGCACCACTTATCAAACAAGACAGCTTTCTCGCGTGCGAACTCCACGTATGTTTGGCTGGCGGATTTTGGAAGCGTCCTAAAGTTTTGCCGATAGGCTTCCGGCACTAACTCGTAAGCCCTAAGCACAGTAGCCTTCACAATGTCGTAATCAAGGCTCTGCTCTAACGCGAGAGCCGAACAAACCTCCTGTGCCTTACCCACAAGCTTACATTGCAGTAACAATGACCAGAGATGTTTGGGGCAGTTCAACGTCATGGCAATGCGCTCAAAAATGGAAAAGTAGGCGTCTACCTCGTTTTCCCGAAACACAGGAACAAGACCGATGTGTCGGCTCACATCAAAGCTCGATCTACCAATTTCCGGGGAGACAGGCGAACTCAAGGGAGACTGGGGACTGGGCCTAGGAGCGTCTAGGGCATCGGCCTGGTCTCATACCTGGTGTGGGTACCTTACGCGGAAGAGGCATCGGTTTTCAATAATAATAATAATAATAATAATAATAATAATAAATTTAATTTATAATGCACGTTACATTTTACAAAGAAGATCTCAAAGTGCATACAGACAGTGAGAGAATATCACAATAAAAACAACAATGAAAGAGGAAAAAGAAAATGCCCATGCTCAACCGTCGTAACTCCAGCTCTTTGTCAGCCTCAATCTCCATAGCCCGGACACGGAGTAGCTGAGCCTGGTACTCCAGTCTCTTGATCTCAAGCTCGAGCTCCCGTAACTTAATTGTCAGCAGCAGGTCCTCCCTGGTAGAGCGAGGATCTCCAAGATCCATGCGGTGTCCACTCCCTGGATCGTCGCTGCTGGCCTCCACTACAGCAGACATCCAAATCGGGGTGGCAGCAACACTAGGGGATCCACCAAACTCAGGCAGTATACCTTGCTGAACTAATTCGTAGAGCAGAATTTTCTTAACAACCCACTTGGAAGCCTCAGCGGGAACCAAAATGTTAAAGAAGTCTGCAATTTGTAGCAGATCATCCTTGCGGCACTCAAATTGTTCGAGTGTGGGGTAAAGGGTGAAAGCAACGAGGTCGAACTGGGCCATTACTGCAATTACCACAACACCCCCCCACACAAAAAAAATCTGCCAGACAAGCACGAAAAGGAAAGAAGGAAGGGACGAGCCCCCAATTTTGTTACGGTCCAGTCTAGGGTTGGAGCGCAACAAAGTGAAAGGGAAGGAGGGATTGGGGAGGACAGGACAACTAGGGCTAGGAGAAGGGAACACGGGACACAAAGGGAGTCTTTTTTTATAGTTTTTTTTTATAGTTTTTCACAAACACAGTACAAACACTAGGTGTAACGAACGTCAGGAGTGACAAAGGCCAAAGAAACAAACAAAAGCACATCTACCGAGTATCACCACAAGCTGAGCTACCTAAGCGAACACAAGAAAAAAAAGGTGAAACGAAACAACAATGCCTAAATCTATCTCCCTGACCAAACAAACAATAATCCCCACGTTAACGAATAAACAAAAAGGCAGACACTCCCTACACACCTAGTGAACACGAAACACAAAGCCAAAGCAAAGGTATCAAAAGGGAAAACCGAGAGGCGAAGTCGAAACACAGGCGAAAGTCCAAAACCAAGCAAGCAGTCAAAAATCAAGGCGAAAGTACAAATAAGAGCGAGGCGAGAATCGGAGGTCAAGGGCAAAACAGTCATACACAATCAATCAATCAATCAAACAAACAAAGTAAAGCGAACGGAGAGCGAGCTAGCAGGCGAGAAGCAAGTAGCGGGCAGACGAAGGGACGAAGCGGCGATCTCTTCCGCCGATGAACCGGAAACTGCTCCGAGGGCAAGGGAGGCGGGGTCAGGTCCAGAGGGCGGAGTCGAGGGGGCGGTTGACCAATCGGCGAGTGGGCAGGACGTCCGAAGGACCTGCAGGCATCCTCCTAAACTTACGGCACGTACTGTAACCCAAACATACGGCACGTAACACTGCAGATTCCAGTATTGAATCCCCAAACTGTGGCTGAACAGAGGTAAAACACCACATGCCAAAGAACACACACTGCTGTAGAGTGTGCTTTGGGCATGTGAAAGAAGATGTGATTCTGGTGCACAAGTCCTTGGGAGCTCTAAGATTCACCTCTGAACGTGTGTGGGGGGGTGTTGTGCTGTTCTTGTTATGTGCACTATGCTCCACAACGTTGCAGTAATTATTTCATTAAAATATATTTTGACCACCTCCTCAACAACTTGTTTTAAGGCTTCTTTTGAGAAGTATTACTTCCTTTTCCTATTGCTGCTCACCACTACATTTTGTTTACAAGGAAGCAACATCACATTTTGAGCCGATTTTTATATTTTCAACAAATATTTTAATTTATTTTGGTCTTAATTTTGGTTGCGTTGGTCCGTTTTTATTGATTTTCTAATTAGTTTATATTTTTATTTACATTTGCCTATTTCTGGTGTGACAATCATTTAACCATTTTCACCATTGTAATACGTGGGATCGATGTTCCTGTTATCGACAGACCGCTTTTCTCACGCGGAGGCTGGGGAGGTGCCAACAAAGTACTAACTTCGTTGGTTAATTCTGAAATAACGAAGGTTTTAGGAAACTCATGTAGACCTCGCTCGTTCTTTACTTACGTCGTTTGTTATCTTGTTCGTTATTCAATAAGATCGATCGCTTTCGGGAAAAGCAACCAATATTATTTAATAGGCCTAAATGTTGCAAATTTATAGCAGAATGGACCGCCAACCTAAACAAATAATTATTACTCTGTATGAGAAGCAGGTGAAGTTTGAAGAGCACGTTAAGCACAAAAAGAAGAGAAAAAGTGTTTCATTTAAAAGAAAAATACTTTTTCATAACCAATACTTCTTAAAGAAAAAGCATTCACAACAATATAACCAAAAAGTAACTGAAAACTTAGGCTACCAATACATTTAGAGGTAAGACTAAAAACATGAAAACAATTTTCTGTCATTCTATTGTTAAAGGTAACTTAAGGCTAGAAGTTTCTTCAGGGTACTTCAAAAGAACTTTCATTAATTTTCCAGCAGGGTTAGGGTTAAGCAATGCAGTACAGACAGAGTTGTTAGAGTGCAGGAACAAAAGCCAGCTTTTTTAAAATGGGGAAAGTCAATGGACGAGCTACTGGATCAGGAGTGCTGAGGTTTAAAAAAAATTCCAGGTGCTTCTCTGAGTGGTGTGGCTGTAACACTGCTGTCACTGCTGTGATGGCTTTCCAGCCCCAATTGCATTGTGCGGTGTGAGTGCAGTAATCATGCATCGACAATCTTCATAGCCAGATGCTAAATTTCTTTGGCTACCACGAGTGCATTTTTTAATCATCAATTTTAGGATGCATCAGTAAGAGCAGAGTCATGCATAAAGAGTTTCCCTGGGACCATGTCATCTCAGTGTCATTACAGGATATTGGCCTGGATTTAAAAACATCTTTACAGTTGTGTGCCTTGTCTGCAAAGCAGACTTAAGAAAACAACAGGACCACACTTCCAAAAGTTTCACTTACAGAGAGTTGACTTTGGAAATAGTACTGCTGCATTGTTAGGGTATGCTGTCACCACATGTCTGGCTCTCTCATAAAGTGCTTTCACGCAGTTTAGAAAATGCAATTTTTGCTGCAACGCTACACTTATGCTAAGTAAACTAGTCATGGAGTTGTTTGCACCTTAAATGATCACAGATACAAAAAGATAAAACTCATACTGAATAACAGTGTTTGCTTACATTTTTTGTGTATATTTTATTTGTTTTTTCCCTTCAAAAATGACAGGTGGAAAAAAAGTATAATGCAAGTAATAAATAGACAGACTGTAGCATTTGTTTATATGCTCACAGAGCTGTAATTTATCAGAATATAAAAATAGATAAGAAAATTCTGTTACAAAGTCAAAGGATGCAACAATCGTTTGGTTATCACTCTTAAATATAACGCATTAAGATACCTGAAAGAGAGAGCAAAGATTATGAAAAGAAAGTTACCAGAAAGGGATACTATTTGTGGACGTCAGCCTCCACCAAGGCCAAACAGCCTGTCCTGCTCAACTGTTGTAATGTTTTTTTTTTCCACTTTTTACCAACTGAGAGAGCACTAATGACATCCAAACATGCTGCCTGCTTGACAGCATAACAATAAACACATAGCCTTTCATCATAGTAAACAGTAATATCCAGAGCGTACCTAAGCCACTGTGGCCATTACAGACACTGAGTATTGCTTTGATATGTGCTAAACACAGCAGCCCTTAGTTATAGTTTCCAATCCTTCATCTGACCATATATTATGCAGGTAATAATACGAATTTCTTCATCTGACTAAATTAACCTTCAGACAAATCATTTTAATAATCAGTGTATAATTGTAAATGTCTGTGCCTCAGTTGGAGTTCGGATGCACAATGACAATTTCAGTTCTTCTCCAGTTCTGGCAAGTGGCTGTTTTAGGGCTGAGGTCAGATACGAAGTTACCAATGAGCGAGACGCGTATCGCTTTCCTCTTGCCTTCACCTCAGTTTAGTGCAGAAGTCTGCAGTCAGCTCCCTACAGATATGCTGAACATACCCCTACCTCCGATCATGATGCTTTCTCTGTTTAATTAGAAATAAGAGTAAAACCAAATGAAAGACAAAGTTTCTTCAAAGGTTCTTCTTGGGTAATTTTCCAGGTAGCCTTGTCTGAAGCCTCCAGAGCAGATGGCTTTGCTGTCAACTCATCTCCTGCTAGGACTCCAGGAGTGAGTGCCACCTGCAGACCTGCTGACCCTCAGTCTCCTTCATCTGGGTCCAGTGAGAGAGCTCCTCCTCCCCGGAGCTGTTAAGGCCCATGGAGAGCCAGCCCAGACGTCCCCTCCGACTCATGCCTCCACGCTTGCAGTGGACAGACAGGACCAGCGTGACCTCCGACAGCTGGAAAAGCGTCACCTGGAACACAAAGGTCTCCTGGTACGTGGGGTCAGGCTGGCCCCGGGACACAGACGTCCTGCATTTGGACATGGGTTGTCCCATTGAGTTCAGCATAGTCAGTTTCACATATGTGTCTGTAGGTGAATTAGGGGACAGATAGAACCAAGCATTAAGAAACATTAGGAGGATTTTTGACAAAAACAAAAACCCCATTCCTGGCAACGGAACACCTTAAATCCGGGCTGTACATGTGTGTGTGTGTGTGTGTGTGTGTGTGTTTGTGCCCTGTGATGGACTAGCAACCCATCCAGGGTGTGCCCCAGCCTTCTGACAACGTGTTTCCCTGTTAGCTACAACAACTCAATTAAAAAATAAAACTGCAGTAGACTAAACTTTTAAACAAGAGAGATGATTGTCAATATCAATATCACATGAGGATCTAGAACAGGGTTATTCAATTCACGGTCCTCGAGGTCCGAGCACTGCTGGTTTTCCAGCCTTCCTTTACCTGTCAGTCAGGTGTGAAGCCTCTGACCAATCAGAATCAGTAATTATTAAACAACTACCTGGGGGAACTGAAAACACGGCCTGGATTTGGAATCGAGGTCCAGAGTTGAAGAACCCTGATCTAGAACATTAGGAATTACCGAGATAGGTATTGGCACATTTTCCAATCCTGTAGCAGAGAATGTGTGGAAAATACCAGACCCCTACTTTCAGATATTTACTGCCTGGCATTTAATAGTTCATTTCCATAAGACATTTCCTGTAAAGCCATTTCTCAAATTCACCTCTAAGGTTATTATATGACATTTACTGGTGATCTACAGCAACCAGTAGTAAAATATGAATGTAACCATAAGACAGAGCATGTTAGCAGCAAACAGTGGCAATGTGAAAGAAAACCAATGTGAAATTAAGTTTTTGTAAGCTGAGGTATGTGTCTCCTGACCTTTGAAGCTGTTGCAAATGACATAACTGTTAGTGTTGAATTTTAAAACTGGTCATTGAGGTGATTTCTTTGGGTTATGACTTTACAGGAAGTAGCCTTTGCAGATTGATGCTAATTCTCATCACTTTTTTGGAAACAAAGGAAAAACCCCAATGTAACACATAAATTGTGCCTTAAATATGAAGTTCATTAGATTGTTCATGTTTAGTCAACATGGAAACCACAGAATAAACATGCTTTGAAGTCTTGGTTCTAAAATTCTGAGCATTGTGCTGTTAGCATATAATCTAAAGATTGCAGAATATATCCAAAATGTCTCTTTCAGCTTTTACCATCAGGACAAACCGCGTTAAAACAATCATGGCCTTAAATTCAGAACTGTTAATTTTTATAATTTCATAAGTGCAATTTGTATAGTCAGTGCAACATATATTTTTATATATTCTTTTATTACTGCTAAGACTCACATTGAGTCGACTTCATTTTTCAATTTCGTTGTCAAGTGACAATGACAATAAAGATTTATCTACCTTACCTATCTTTTTATTTATTTTTAATTTGAATAAAATTAAAAGGTCATGTCTGATTTGTTTTTATTCAAAGATCAAAAGAGGTTATATATAAATATAAAATATACTATAACTTTTCTGGATTAACACATGAAGAGCAAGAGATATTAGCCATATTTAAAGCTGTAATTATTCTATTAGCAGAAAAACTGAATGTGAGTATAAGTGAGATTTGGTGTAAAGGTGGCCATGGTACAGTAACATTTTTACGAGACGTTAACATAGTAGTACATGGTTATTTAATGCATTCATTAACCATTAGCTAAGTGTTAGTTCATTAATCAATTATGACAGTTCATGTATTCATTCTGGAACTATATTAATTAATTATTAACTAATTAGTTAACTAAACTAATCGCTTTAATGGAATACATGAAATGTCTTGATTGATTAATGTTGAACAAGCATGGGATCAATATGTAACTAACTTAGTTACTGGTTAATTAATGCATTAATCATGTACTACATTATTTCAGTTCCCTCAAGTGTGACCAGTAACACTACAATAGGGTCCCTTATTAACTTTGTAGGAGTTGTTAGTTTGTACTGCTCACATACAAATCATGAACAAATTTAGTAGCTACTTGAGATAAAAGGTGTTACGATTCATCAATGATGAGCAAACATGAGATCAGCATTTCACTTTTTGTTATTCATTTCTTCTTCCATCAATAGTTCACCATGGTTTATGAAATTAACAGATATAGTGACAAATATAGTAACTGCTTGAAATAAACGATGTTACAATTCATTAATGATGAACAAACGAGATTAAAATATAAGGAAGTAAATAATGGAACTAATAGATATGTAGTGGTAAGTCTTGATTGATTCATGATTAATTATAAGCATAATAGCATATTATTTGTGCCCCTTCAAGTACACAAATTATGCAAAGTGGACCCGGTTGGAAAACACTGCTTTAGAGTAATTTCCCCAATGCTGAAAGGACTTGGGACTACTGCTTACAGGTCTACATAATGTGGGAACCTTGAACACAATCTGGTCCCATTAAAACTACTGAAGAAAAAAAAAAGTGTGACTAGTGACCATTGTAGAAACCAGCATTCACAAAAAGGACAACAGGCATACATACACGAGGGCGAGAATGAAAAGGAAGAACACTTACCTCGAATTATATAAATCTGCCCACCTATTACGTGTTTCAGACAACAGAACAGCCCATCTGACAGCAAGAGTTAGAAAGCAGGAGAATAAATGATATTTCAACAGATGAAGAGGCTGAAGGGGGAAGAGCTGAACATGAGTGTCTAAAGAGCTGGAGAATTAGGGGGACATCAAACTCTCTGGAGAAGAGAAGAATTTCATAAAAAGGCCATAATTTGCAAAAGAAAAGTCTACACATACAGGACCAGTAAAAAGTCTGGACATACCTACTGAAAATCAATTGTTTTTCAACTAGATAATGACCTTTAGCCCAGCTTGAGGTTATGTAAATACTGTATCATCTTGTGAACCAGGAAGGAGATGGAGTGCTGCAACAGAAGACCTGGTCCCCACAATGCCCTGACCTAAATCCTACAGAGCTAGGGAGTTTGGAATGAGTTGGATCATTTGGAATGAGAAGGCATGCAGGGCATGCACGGAGACCCTTCCTCATCCTGATATGGGGGGGGCTGCAGCTCATCCAGTGGGGGGATTCGCCTCATCCTCTGGATGCCATTGGCTGTAAATCGAGAGCCAGAGAATCAGGCCATGTTTTACGCTTTATCAAGAGGCTTTCTTTTGTGTAAGACCAAGGTGGCCAACTTGTGGAAACTCCTTCAGAACTCTTGGAGAAGCACTCCAGGTGGCTACATCTGGAAGCTGGTGTAAAGAATGCCAAGAGTCAATGATGTCAAAGCAAAAGTGGGCTCATTTGAAGAATCTAAAAACTTGAGAAAATTTGATTACTATAAGGTGAATAATATAGATAAAACAGAGAGAGAAAATAGAGAAATATGCATTAAAAGCAGGTGTGTCTAGACTTTTGGTTGGTACTGTACAAACAAGTCATTTTACCTGTACAGTCATGTGAAAAAGAAAATACACTCTTTCAGTTCTATGGTTTTATGTATCAGAACATATTTAAAAAAAAAAAAACAATTGTTCTAAAATTAGGTTCTAAAATAATTCAAATTTAACCTCAGGTGTAAACCAATACCAAGGCTTTCTTCTGGCAACCCTTTCAAATAAGCCATACTTGTTCAGTCTTTTTGTAATTGTACCATCATGAAGCTTAACATTTAACATGCTAACTGAGGCCTGTAGAGTCTGAGATGTAGCTCTTGGGTGTTTTTGCAGTTACTTTCAGCATTGCATGGTCGCACCTTCAGGTGAATTTGCGGGAACATCCACTCCTGGAAAGACTGGTAACTGTGTTAAATGTTTTCCACTTAGTGAGTAATCTTTCTCACTGTAGAAAGATGGACTTCAAATTGTTTTCAGCAGAGGAATGTGGAAAAGGTGGTATAATGTTTTATCGACCTCGCGAAAGGAAATCACAGTTTATAAAGCAAGCATGCAAGCTACAGGTTTGTGTCATTACTTATATTGCTCTTATGACCCTCGCTATAATAGATGATGATAATAATAATAATAATTATTATTATATTTTTCCAGTTGCCAAAAACGTAGCTTCATTATCACCTTCAGTTCAACTGTAAGTGCATTTTAGACGTCCTTTCTTTGACGGAAAGTGCGCGGCCTCCGTCTGGGTGCGCGTAGTGCAGCTGCCATCATTCAACTCCTAACTGGCTTAGGAGTCCTTAAATAATTTAGGAGCTGAGACCAAGTCTTAACACTTAAGAATGTTTATGCATGCCACTTATTCTTAAGTCTGGGAGTAGGAGCAAAATCACGTCACTCTTAGAATTGTGACGCATTTAAGAGTGAAATTTTACTTTGAGAAGTTTTATGCATACCGGCCCAGATGATTTTTTTATTATGTCCTGATATGCAAAACCTTTGAACTGAAAGAGGGTGTACTTTTTTTTTTTCCATGACTGTATATTGCTGCAATAAAGACAACACTGCCTATGTCAAAGATACCAGCTTAAGTTTTTTAATTGCTTTTATAACGTGTACTGTATGTCATTAAACTTGAACGACAGTCCAGTCATTTAACAAGAGGAAGACTGGCTCTGCATTACACCCTACAATTGAACCTAACTACACTCACAACCCATAGCCCCAGATCACATAATAAAGATGTTGTGACATGCAAAGCCGGTGCGGTATTACTGTACTGGTGTTACTGGAAATACTGATAATGAAGCTGTTCGCCCCCAGAACTGAGGCCACACTTACTGGGCGGCTTTTCGGCAGCCATGTTTTTGAAGTGACTGCCCTTGATGACCTCCACAGAGAGACAGCCCGTGGCAGCGTTATAAACGAGCCCCACTAGGATCTCAGCGGCGGCGGGGGCGTGTCCCGTCGAGCGGAAGGACGGCGTGCCATCGCTGCGGGTTATGCTGACCAGCGAGCCGCAGCCCTGATGGGTGTCCCACAAGAAACCAAGAGTGACAGTCACACATGCACAAAGGAAACACTAACTTTAGCTACCACCAAAACATGCACATAACGAATAAAATACCAACACAGAGCATGTTTTTCAGCGTCATTGCCTGGTTTAGCTAATGGCCCACTTTCCGGAAGCGTTACGAAACGTGCTGCCACCTCTACAACACCTAGCATTCCTCCAAGAGTGTCCCCATGTAGGTCATAACTTTAATTCATACTTACACCCAAGAACTGAAAGTTTCTACATTTTTAGCTGACTTTTTTTTGCCCGCCTGTCATTAGATACTGCACATCAGCACGCACAGAAGCCGCAAGTGACTTTTTCAACTCTGTGGCTTCAATATATGAGAGATTCTCTACCAAGTTGATTCTTCTTGATCTCATTCTGAAGTTTAGTCAGCAACATCTAGGGCAGGGCTAGAATTTCAGTATTAGAGCCAGCAATGTCAACAAAGCTGGATGTAACTTATACTTGCTCCCTATGTAATGAAGAACGAGCAGCCCTGATCTAAGATACTGTATCATTACCTTCTTAGCAAGGAAAATGTCATAAGCTTTGTGAATTTACACACACTCCCCAGAGAGTGACGCTCACCGTAGGGGCACACCCAGGCTCCAGAGTGACAGGCAGGGCTACCTTGCCCTGCAGGTTGAGCTTGGTGAGGTGGAAGACCTTCTCGCCCAGCACCTTCTCGGTGCGCATACGTCGCACGCTGTAAAGACGGAAGCGCACGGCATAGTTCCCGATGGCATCCTGCTCCACGGGGCTGAAGCGGAACGTCTCAGTGAAGACCGGACAAGGCCCCCTCTGCACGCCCGTCTTGGCCCGCTGCTTTTTGGTGGGCAGCAGCACCAGGTGTACCTGCCAGGCCACGTTGCCGGCACTGCAGAGGGCCGGGATGTCCGTGGCGGCCGTCACCGTCACTGCCAGCCGCTGCTCCCGGGCGTCGTAGTCGAAAGCCACATCCAGAGTGCCATACTTGGCTAGGGGTTCTGGCTCATAGCCTATGGGGAACTGTAGGGCTGGAGCATTCTGGGTAAGAACATAAGAACATATCTGAGAAGCTTTAGATGCTTAAAGTGGAGAGATAAATTGAGGAAAGCAAAATACGCATTTAACTGTAAACTGACAGTAGGTCCTGCTCTCACTATCATGTATGAAATGACATAAGATGGAGAAAGAAAAACACAGTGTCAAGTTTGGACCAGCGGGAGGTGCTGTTGTGCTGAAAGAGAAATACTATATATTAATGAGATTTAGAGCAAGCTTTTTCCTGTGCAAAACATTAGCATTATACGTTTATAAAAGTTATTCTCCCCTTACTACATAAATACTGACAGACTGAGACTGATATTAAAGGTAGCTGTTATGTCTATAACCTTGTTTTATGGCAAAGAAATTAGGGCAACCACATAATCCAAGTCAGAAATGATACTTCGAGCTACTTCAGGTTTTACAAACTGCTTTAAATCTGAAAGGCTGAAGGGCTTGGTTAAATAGTTCAATTCTTCTTGTGCTCTGGTATGTTTCCACGACTGAAAGACTCATCCATCAACATCAGTGACACATGCATGATAATAGGTGACTGACCAATCAGCACATACCAAGAACTCAATGCTAAAGTGAAATCCAGGTCTTTTTAATTGAAACAGTAGTTTACAAACCCTGTCATAGCCTGTAGTGTCCTCTCTGACATGGATTATCTGGTCACCCTAGAGAAATACCACAGGCCTCTCTATAATTTATTTATGTGATCAATCTTACCACCACACAACATAGTCTCAGAACATTGACCATTTATGACCCTATTTAGTGGGGCTTCACCAATCCTATTTTTAGTCTCAGCCCCCCTTAAAAATGATTAATCTAAATCCATTTAGTGATTTTGTCCTGCATTTCTTAGGCGCTTAGTCCCTCTTCTGGTCAAATGCTAGAATGGCTCCTGATGCAACTTATTGTGTTACTGGAGCATCATCTCTAACGATGTGAGCAGCCGTGTTTGAGGGATCCGTGAGGGAGGGTCACATATTTAGGGTCGATGTTTGTGAAGTGACAGAGCGTACTGCTGGTCAGGGCCACGACCAGGGCGCTCACCTGTGGGCTGAGGACCGCGGTGCTGTCACTAGGAACATCCTCTTCATAGCCTTTGGTTAGGTAGTTCTCCATCTCCAGGTCAGCACTGGCTTCGCTGAGCGACAGCTCCCGGGTCCTGCTGAGGGCCCGGCCGCTGGCCTCGCGGGACGGCCTACAGTGGGTGACACCTGCGTCAGAAGGCATGCAGGGCATGCACGGAGACCCTTCCTCATCCTGATATGGGGGGGGCTGCAGCTCATCCAGTGGGGGGATTCGCCTCATCCTCTGGATGCCATTGGCTGTAAATCGAGAGCCAGAGAATCAGGCCATGTTTTACGCTTTATCAAGAGGCTTTTTTTTGTGTAAAGCCTGATGAACCTTCAAAACATGCATGTTTTTAAACAGCAGGGGACACAACATTAGACAGCATGGTAGTTGAGCGCACATATTTATAACCTTCTGTTCCAGAAGGGGATGCTAGTATTCAAAACCCCAAACATATACAGTGATAACTAAGTCCCCATAATTGTGTCTGTGTGTTTCGTGTGACTAAAAGAATATAAAAACGAGGGTATATGGGCATGCATGTGAACCAATAAAATATATGCATGCATGTGTGTAAGGATGGGTGAGTGCATGCAATTGAGAACGAGGAGATTATGTCTGAGTGTGTATACATGCATTTGCGTGCATGTGTAAGAGTATGGATTGGGAAGGTTACATTTGAATGGGGATATACAGTACTGTGCAGAAATTTAGGCAGTGGAAAAAATATTTAAAGCTATTTATCTGGGTAGTCAGTGTATGTCTGCTCAGAACAAAAGCACAATTAAAAAGAACATATGCAAATTAAGAGTAACAATAAAAAATAAACACCACTTTAATCTTTTGTTCTCCAAAAAGTTACTGATACCTTGCTGGTTGGGTGGAACACCGCTTCAGTTCCCAAGCCTCTCCTCAGAGGCATTTCTTGTATTTGTTACATTTCATCACCATCTCATTTAATTAATTAATTTAATTAGGTGACTTATTCAGTGAGGTACTGATTAGCCAAACAAGGTATGCTAGTGGTCATATAAAAAAATGATATATTGGATTCTTTGACAGACACCAACATGAAGATTGTTTATACACAATTTTCTAAGACTAGCTAAGACGCTGCACAGTGCTGTATACTGCTGTGTACTACAGGTGTCTCAGAACACGTCTCTAACCCTCTCCAGTGGAGTCCTTGCCGCTGTAGCCCTTGCTCTCGGCTGACAGAGAGCTGTACTTTGGTCTCGGCTCCGAGTAACAGTCCTGCCGGGGCCAAGGTGCCACCCATCGCTGTACGCCCTCCAGGTGCGGCCTTCTTTCCTCATCCTCACTATCTGAGGAAGAGCCTAGAAGATCTTTCTCTGGTAAAGGTAAAAACAGTTTGCATGTAATTATGGAGTTGCTTTTTGTGGAAAAACAACTGGACTAAGACACAGTTGTGTACTGTTTCCCTAAACATTTTATTAGATACTCGTTTGTAGATACTCAACTGATGCTCATTTGTTCTTTTATGATGACAGAAATTATCGCACCTACAAATGTCACAATAAAGGAAGAGAACAACCTAACTTTGGCAGTAATCTTCACAGCGATATTAACTACAGCAGAGCAGGAGTTATATTTAACTTCATTTAATCAAATTAATGTCTGATCGAAAATTAAACATGTCACGCTGGAGATTTTGCATAGCCTTGATTGTAGCTCCATAAGCTTGTGAAGGCATGCCTATGAAATCAAAGTGCAGTGTCAGTATAGCACCACCTCGCTCGAGTCTCTGAGATGAAAGGCAGCTTCAGGAGGGGAAAAAAACAAGGAAGCAGATGTAGTGAAGGACAACTCTAAGCAGCCAGCAGGCATACTGAAGAATCAGAAATGTAAGCAGAACAAACTGGAAGAGATGTATATAAACTGGAGGAGCGTTACACTGTAGCAGGGTTACAGTGTAGGAGTGTTACAGGGAGTGTTACACTGGAGGAGTGTTACATTGAAGGAGGAGCTCATTGATAGCCTGGAACTAGGGCACATCATCTCACCAATCGCTGGATTTGCTTTCTCTCTCTCTTCTGTTAATCTCCCTGAATCCACTTTATGTGACTCTTCTTGGTTCTTTCGAATGCATTTGGGCATGCTCTCTCTTACTGGATTCCCATGCACAGCGCTGTTCACCTTAGAACTTGTTTTGTTCTTTTCACTTGACGGTCTATTGTTGTCTTTAACATGAAGGGAACAGGGTAATGGTTGACCTAGCCTGTTATCGCATGGAATTGCCCTTCTGCCCACTACCTCCATCTCAGCATCACAATCCCTCATGGTGGGTGATAAGTCTTTCTCTTTCACAGCTGGACCCAGAATTCTGGAATCTTGGGATTTCTTCAAGGTAGCCTGGTCCGAAGTTACATGACCTTGGGAGTCAATTCTAATTTTTTTATATTTGTCTTTGAACATATGAAAGGATACTTCCTCTTCTTGCGTTTGCTCTGCTAAATGAGATGCTTGAATAGCGTCACCTATTTTTAAGGTTCCCTTCTCTGGGATTTCCGAATCCCCCGTTACAGTCTTTCCAGAGGTCTGCAGGCAGTCACAGTTTGCATAGACTCCCAGGGGGCGAGTGGTATTAGTCATGGCTTGTGATCTCGGTTGGCGGTCGTCTGCCCCAGGCTTGCACACCTGTACTGTAGCAACCTCTTCCTGCTGGCTGAGCTGCACCTTGCTCTTGATGATCATGATCTGCTCTGTCAGCTGGTCGCTTACAGCATATGTAGCATCTCCCATGACATCAGCCAGGTCACCCATAGCACTGGTGACTGGATTCAGGATAGAGGAAATAGAGGGCAGGTTCTGCTGAAAGTTCCAAAAAAATTCCATGTGACCTGCAGCGTGTCTCCTGAGCCCTGGCTCACTGAGGAAATGTCCAGTTGTTTTTTTTTTTCAGATTGTCATGGAAACCATGGGTAGAGTATTGGAGTCTTGTGTAAGTGGCATCCTGAGGCTGTTCTGGATGCTTCCATGTAAATGCATGGACATGATTAGTGAAACAGGACATGGACATATGGTTAGAGCCACACTGTGCCAGGATATGATGATTATTTGCTGCAAAAACATTATATTTTAGACTTCAGGAAGTATGATTAATTTGAAGTAATGTATTAATGTTTTTCAGAAAACAGCTTTTCATATGAAAATGTCATTCCAGCCTTGGGACTGTACATATACCTTTAGGGAACCTCAAACTACATATTGACTTCATGTTGAAAATAGTATGTGCAGTAATCTACAGCAGAAAAACTTACAACTATTAACCGTCGAATACACTATAACAAGCTTGATCTGTGTCATATAATTACAATTTACCAACAATAAACTTAGTTTCATTGTCTGAGATTATCTGCATTCCTTACAGTCAGTGATTTTAGTTATTCTCCATGAGTCAGCTTACAATTTCCTTAAAATATTAATATTAATTTAAAAATCATATTAATATTAATGACACCCCTCTCATATGGCTATAGATACACACACCCATACACACACACACACACATACAGACACAATTTACAGAAATTTTTTAAATACGAAATATCAATTTTTAAGACTGGATGTCTATGGACATATACGCCATAGAAATGTGTTTATCATTTATACAACTGGAAAAACAATCCAAGATAGAACCTTACCTTTGTAATCCTTATTGTTCCTTAGTTGAGAGTCCAGGTATGATGCTTGATTGGAAGAGTTAATTGAAAGTTTCTTGCTTACGTATAGAAAAAATAGAATAACCAGGAAACTAAAAACTGCTATGGTGATCAGGAATCCTAAAACCTCTGGGGACACTGAAGAAAGAAGGAGAGATGGCAATGGTAGGTTCAGTGTCTGTGTCATACAACACACAAAATAGCAGGTTAACATTTCCTTATTGTTTTTATTCAATATATAGCCTCATAAGATGACTAAATGTCTTTGGAAAATAAGAAACCATAAAGAAAGAAGAACTGACACCAGCTTACAATTCACAGCTCAACAGTGCACAGTCTATGGCTAAATGTATCCACTAACAGAAATTCACATCCTTGTTTCGGCGCTTTGCTGTTGTTGACACATTTGGCAAAAAAAAAGCTCTTTTGCGTGAAGTTAAAGCAGTCAAAACTGACAGAAGAGCACATGGCGCTGTCTCAAAACTGCCAAAGCTTCTAGAATCAATATCAGTCTTAGAGGAGGGAAACTGCACAAGACATAACGTTAGTTCCAGTAGAAAGGAAAGTCTCATTTGATATCGAGAGTCCAGTTGCTCCTCTTATAGAATGGAGAACACAATGGAATACACGTGCTGGAATCTGTCACATGACACCCTAAGGGGCTGTCCAACATATATGCCCATCCTGGTTGAATTATTGATGAGACCCCTGTAACCCTAACCACACACAAAGCACCTGTACTTTTCCTAAGCCAACCCTAACAAGAGGCTGCCAATCTCCTCATCTTGACAGGAGGCCAGGCAATGGGTGACGAACATGCTCATAGCCATGGTTACCGCGTACTGATGATGATGATCATTTGTGCAGCAAAAGCTTCGGTGTAATGGCAATGTTATAATACCACTTGTGGCGTAAATGCTACGCCCTTTTGTCACCAACTGTGACTATATGCATATAACAAAGCTGATGCTACTGTATCTGTTAATCATTTGTTAATTGTGACAGTCGTAGAGGTTAAATGTTAAAATGATGAAAGAATGGGTGCTATCATCTCTTCAATGCAGTGCAGTGCCTGCCATATGTTAGAAAGTAGGAAAATGTTGCATTAATATAAATGAAAATACTTATACAGGTGAAACACGTCTGGCCCAAATTTTTTGTATTTTTTAAAAATACTGATTACTAGCATTAAAACCGCCTGCCTAATATAATGCAGGTCCCCCTCATGCCACCAAAACACCTCTGACTTGTCAAGACATGGACTCCATAAGATCCCTGAAGGTACCATGTGGTATCTGGCACCAAGTCATTAGCAGCAGATCCTTCCTGTAAATTGTGAGGTGGAGCCTCCCTGGATCGGACTTGCTTGTCCTGCACGTCCCACAGATGCTCGATTAGATTGAGATCTAGGGAATTTGGAGGCCAAGTCAACACCTTGTTTCATGTTCCTCAAAACCATTCCTGAACAATTTGTGCAGTGTAGCAGGGTGTATTATCCTGCCGATAAAGGCGACTGCCTTTGGGGAATATTGTTGCCATGAAGGGTTGTACTTCATCTGCAACAATGTTTAAGTAGGTGGTACGTGTCAAAACAACATCCACATGAATGCCAAGGTTTCCCAGCAGATCACTGCCCAGAGCACCACACTGCCTCTATCAGCTTGTCTTCTTCCCACAGTGCACCCTGGTCTAGCTTTCCTTCCCCACAGTGCATAAATGAGCCTTGAACATCCATGAACCTGCCACCATTTCACTACTTGGCTTTCCTTGGACCACTTTTTGTAGGTACTACCCACTGCATACCAGGAACGCCCAACAAGACCTGCCGTTTTGGAGATGCCCTGACCCAGTCATCTAGCCATCACAGTTTGGCCCTTGTCAAAGTCTCTCAGATCCTTATGCTTGTCCATTTTCCGTGCCTCCAGCACATCAACTTCAAGAACTAACTGTTCCCTTGCCAAATACATAATGACAACATTGACGTGTGCCATTGAAACAAGATAAATAAGGGATAAACTATGACAAGGAGTGTGGTTATATGAAAATAATCATTGACAATAAGTTGGAGTTGATTATTTACATATAACCACCCACCTCGATGTGGTTTTATCCCTCTTATATCACAGCTAATGAATAAAAAATAATACAATAAACTAGTCACAGTTACCTTTTCAAAAGTAAATTACAGTATTTCAATTAACATTTAGTAATGTTCCAATGTGCTCTTAAAGATATAGTTCCTATAAGGATAAAATATCTGATCAGGCTTCTCACTGGAATTGGTGAGTCATATACGTAAAGAGGGCAGAACAACACCTACTTTTCACATTATTACATTCAGCTCTGGTGATACTTAATGAAATAAGTTGAAATGGCCTGAGAATTTTTGCCAAGTACATTGCCAGTGCAAAAATATTTATAGAAGTTACAAACTCCCAGGAATATCCTAGTTACAAGTCTTTCGCAGCAGTACAGCTGATCCTGAGAACTCTACTATTATTTAGACCTCAGCAACCATACAGAACAATGTATTTTATTGATCTGCACTGTTTGCATTATTTTACACTGCTTGTATTGTTGCCTTATATTGTGCTTCACTGTCTAGTATTGTTTCACACTGTCTAGTATTGTTTTCACCAAACTCTATTTTGCACTGTGATGTTTATTGTTTTGTAAATGAATGAGGCTGTAACACAATGCACCTGTTGTACATGGCCAATAACGATCATTAATCTTGAATCTTGACCACAAATCTGTCAAACTCAGATGCTACTTTTTACACACAGCAATGATATCCTTTACTACAGTTGATCATAACTTGATATGTCAATCATTATTTATATGCATGACATCACAGAGGAGAGTAACCATAGACAATTAGAAAGAGGCATATTTGCAAGTTACTTTGGATAAATCAGTCTTTTAGGGAACAAGTAAAATGTAATAATACATTTATATGCAGGATTCATTTAGCAACAACACATTTTGGAAGTTTTATTCAGCATTGCAATACAAAAACACTGAGACCAAAACATGACAAATCCTGCTGCAACCAAAAAGCTACATATTGTCATGCTACTGACATCAAATGACAGATACTAAATACTAAATAAAAATAGAAAGTATCTCAGCACTGAAATGTGCAGAGCCTGTAATCCCATTTTTTGATTAAAAAAATTCCTCTAATGTACTAAGAAAATCTATCTGCATATATGTATTTGCATTTATTATTTGTTGTTTAAAATGGACAGAAAAGTAGGTCCTCTGCAGGACTAGCTAGGATTACCTAACAAAATGGCTTTTGAGCCCATATACATTCTCAGATTTCACCTCACGCAGAACCACTCATATTTCTCTCATTTTCAGCATGATCATAATCACTATACAAATTAATTTCATTCTGCAAGCACAGCAAGATGCCCAGTCAAGGAGAAATAAGAAAGAGGTCAGTCTTACAAAGGATTAAGGAAAACATTGCTATTTGAATCATTGTATCAGTTCAGCAGAATGAAGTAGTACCAATTAAACCCAGTAAAAATTAAAATCATACACTAGTGCTCCAAATTGTGTACTGTTAAGGTAATGGGGTAAAGTGTGGAAAGGTCCTTCTGCTAACAATGGTCAAATTAAGGGAACCAGGTCATAAATTAAGTAGGAAACCAACAGCTGTTCAGCAAAGAACAAAAACAACACAAATATCCATTCATCATCCAATAGCTTTCCCAGCTCAGGATCACAGGGAGGCCTGGAACCAATCACAGGGAGCACAGGGCACACCCACCCACCCAACCTCTAACAGCTTATCTGCCACACACCCTGTGCCTCTAATCAGAAGGTCACCTGTACAAACCCCGCAGTTCAAAAAGTAATTTCATCGTTGGACCCTTGAGTAAGGCCCTTATCTCCCAATTGCTCCAGGATCTGTCTAACCCTGCTATCTCAAAATAAATGTACTTCACTTTAGATAAAACTGTCTGCTGAGTAAATGTGAAGTGTGCGGCAAATTCAGGTATAAGCTGAAATTATGGGCTGGCACAGAGGTGCAGTGGTTGGCACAGTTGCCTCACACCTCTGGGACCAGGGTTTGAGTCTCCACCATGGATCCATGTGTGTGGAGTTTGCATGTTCTCCCCATGTCATCATGGGGTTTCTTTCAGGTACTCTGAGTACTCTCAGGTACCCCAGTTTCACCCCACAGTAAAAGAAAAACATATTAAGGGTAAATAGAGTTAACAAATTGTCCATAGGTGTAAATGGTGTTGAGTGTGCCCTGCGATGGGTTGCCGGCCCATCCTGGGTTGTTCCCTGCCTTGCACCGTAGCCTACGGAATAGGCTCCAGACCCCCATTTACCCTGAATAGGACAAGCGGTTTCAGAAAATGGATGGATGGAAGCTGACTTTACCACATACAGTGGCTCAATTCACCTGCTCTTCATTACTGTAAATATTGTTTATTAATTCTTCTTGATCCGCATAAACAGGTCCAAATCCTTTCCATCCATCCAAACACTGGTGCTTCTGCCAGCTGACACCTGTTTCAGTTTGTTTGGTTTATGCTTCACCTCTCATGCTGGCACCACAATGCCTTTCATTTGTCTTCAATACTCCCACCAGTTTTGTTCTGTTTTGTTTTGTTTGTTTGTTTTTTACAAGTTGTCCACATGACATCATCAAAACAAGTTCTGCTTCCTTCCTAACATTCCGGTGTCATTAAGCAGGAGTTACAAATAAATTATCTATCCATCCATCCATCGTCTAAACACTCATCCTGGTTAGTGTCATGAGGGTACTGGACAGGCAGCACAGACAAAAAGGCTGGGCTATATATTTTTAAAGAACGTAAATCTTTTCTTATAAGATTTTAAGAAGACAAACAGAAAGTTATAAAGCCATCCAGGCATTCCTGTAAAATAAGACTTTTTCAAGTATAAGCGGCACTTTTCATCATTATGTTCTGGCATCACTGATTGTACTCGGATGTGAAATTACAACTGGCATAGAAATGGTATCCAAGAGCTTAACATCTTGAATGACTCGTATTCACACCATTGCTGTATGCCCACTCATACACACTCTCAGAGGCCCACCTACACATTGGAATAATCAC